AAGCGGCCCCGCACATCAGAAACCCCAAACAATCCAGGGAAATCATTCACCAAACCCGGCTGCCACACGGTACCCTTGCAATGATGGCGTAGCCTCTCCTCGAGAGCTCCATACCGGGCTGCTGGGACCGCACAATATTGTGGCACGAGCTGGAAAAGCACTATCAATGCAAGCACTATTGACGGTACGTGGAAAGAATTCCCTACCGCTGAGGCTTTCCACAATTCGGACTTGTCAGGGCCCTGGTCCAGGCAAAAGGCCAATGCGTTAAGCAGCGACACAGGCAAACACATCATGGCGGCCCGTTCGCTAGCAAAAGAGGCTGGCGACACTGGTCCTTCCACAAAAGCGCTCCACTCTCATATGCACCGGCAACCTGCATCCATCCTGATGAAACCTTTCCACCGCAGCCTGGCTAGCAGTAGAATCTGAATCAACAGTGTGACGAAAGGCCCGCGTGAAGGTCGGGAATGGCGCAGCATCCAATCCTTTCTGGGCCTCGGTCAAGGGGTCAAACTGCAGGGCAAATGCGTCATCGAAAAACACCTTCGGGGGCAACGGTTTCTTACCCACCCAGAAAAGGTGCTTCTCTCCACGACACGTGGCACACGAGACGCTCTGTGGAAGTTTAGGCTCCACCACAGCCGACATTGGCCAATCAGCCACGCAACCCCAAAAGCATCTAGACCTACGGCACCACCCGAAACTACCCGCATGGACATGCAAGGGAGGCCCATGCCTCGCTTTCGTCACAGCCTGGCTGAATGCAAGAGGCGTGCGCTCGACATTTTCAAGACGCTGGAACACCCGGATATTCAAGTGCAACTCATGAACCAAATCCTGGCACATCTTAGCAACCTGAGGAATGCAGCGAGAAACAACTGCGATCGCTGGCTAGACAGTCCGGCACGCGACCTATTGAGGGGGCTCACGTCCTGGCACGGTGAACCTCCCGCAACAAGAATTGCTGTGTACCCGCCTTCCTCCAGCAACGATCTGAGCATCGAGCAGTCAAAACAAGTGGCGTCACTCTGGAAGAAAATATTCCCGAAGCACATGCCCACTGCTTGCGCTAAGCTGAGATCAGCTTCCACGGCAGTGGCTGAAACACAACTCCCATGCACAGGAGGGCCACTAGCAGAGTCACTTGCAGAGCCCCGATGCCATCGAAGAGTGATGTGACGAGCAACGGGCCTTCCCACGGCAGGTTCCATGGTATCTGGGGGAGCGGTGAATCGCCCGTATACACAGCATACTTCAAGCCCATATCCCTCAGCAAGGTCTATAGGCCCAGTCCGGACGAGGCGCGAAAGCGGCTTTGGGCTCCCAAGCTCCATGAATCCGGCACATCCCGGGCCTCAGCTCCAGTGCTCGACTGATCGCGAGATGAGCGCACATGAACGCGCCAGGCGCCCGACCACAATCGGCAGCGAGCGAAACTCTTAGGATGGGCGGGAGAAGCGGGACCCACAACACTAATCACCCGAACCAGAGGAACCTGACTAAAGGAGGGCCTAGCCTGCGCTGAAGCACACTGGACCATACGCGATGGGCCATCCGAGCTAGCATGCACAGCAACCCTACAAGCCTCCTGCACACCATGGGAGTTGGCACCGGACCCTGGCACGCAACCAGGCGGCCCTGCTGTCACCTGCGATATTGCGGGCGCTGCAACCTTGTATGCTTGGTGGAACCACAAACCTCGCCATCCACAAGCACATCACACCTATGCTCCTTATTATACACGAAGGGTCGGAACACCCACGCTGATCATTCTCGCGCTTGCCAATCTCCCGGCCCTTGTAATGAGAAGCAGTCTTGAGCTTCTTGCTCGGCGGTGAACCCGAGCTACCCCCATCATCTGGCGCTGAACGCTTGAACTGAGGCACTGGTGGCGGGGTGATGGACCATTGGATTTCCTGCTCAGACATATAATATAGCTCTGTACAACGACTCACCCTGACTCCAGCCTTGTCTCATCAATTCAACCATCCATCCACGGGTGGCCTCGTCACGCTCCTTGACCCAATTAAGCGGTGCCTCCCACTGCATGGCCATACGAAGCACGAAATCTGCGTAGTCCAATTGCACCTGGAATGGGCACATCTTCACAGACTTGGTCGGGTCGGACTGGCTGGGAACATCAGTGGCACCTGCAATGGCATAAGCGTTACCCAAGATCCTTAAGGCATGGTAGCAATCGAAGACGTTACGCAGAGGGGCCGCCTCTTGTTGGTCTACTTTCACCGTGACATTGCCACCCAGCGAATCTTTCTCTCGGCCAGCGGCTTGTGCGATTGAAATAAACTTTTGATCTTGTTCAGCGGGATAACTGTCGGCAGATTGCGGGTAAGCTCTCTGTAAACCCTGGCCAACACTGTGTCAGAAGGGCACATATGCACTGAGATTTCGTGCCCGGAGCACTTGGCAAAGCGAGACATGAGGTCCTCTTGAACATTCGGCTCGAGCGCCTCATCCATGTCTTCACTCGGAGCTGCTCCCCGGCGCGCCTCGTCCTCCAACTTCAAGAGCTCCGCCTTAGCTCGCCGCCAGGCCGCCCGCAATCGTGCGAGCTCAATCGGAGTATCCCGCACTGCCGGGATCTGGTCCGTCACCAATGTCTTCAGCTCAGTCTCGTATCCTGCTGCGGAGACTACACACACCAGATCCTCCAGCGACGCCAATCGCAGGGTATCAAAGAGGTATACTTATTCACCTCATCGGATGTCCTAGCAGCCTGCAGTACACCGCGCAGAGCCTCCATGGTCTACGCACCCCTGGTGTATTGCTAGCTACAAACCTGCAATGGCTACGAGAATGCAAGCACTCGCATCAAGGACACACCATGAGCAGAGCGAACAGGAATGATACCCGCAGCCTTTAAGCGCTCAGGACGGCCGATCACACAATTATAGTCCAGGGGGCTCCGCCACCTCATCCTCCGGAGGAAATGTTGGCGCGATGGCAAATCTTGCACTCATGGCCCCTGTGAGGTTTGGCTATCCCACACCCCATGGAGCACAAAATTTTACAACGAGCTCTACGGTGCCTACGGTGCCTAGGCATCTGGGCCGTCGCCTCAGTTGGGGGCTGGGGCAAAGATGGACCCGTATCCTCAAAGGCAGTCTGGCTGGTCCCTTGCACCTGAGTTGACTCCGCCTCAACAGCGAGCAGTGCACGCAGCAACTTGGACCTCCCAGAGTCCGGCACTGCCTGGCACACTGACACCAGAACCGAGTCCGGCAATTCCGCAATTTCAGACAGCAAGATGTGCGGTGGGCGGCTAGTAGCAGACCCTGGCATATCTCGCACCATTGGTGCTCAAAGGGGAACTTGGGAAACTACCGGGAACACCAAAGCAAGAGCCTTAAACCCTAGCAAAGCGGCGACCCATCCTTGCAGATACATCATGGCTTGACATGTTCCAAGTTCGACACACACTGCACGAAGAAGACCCTCCGCACTTTCTCCACTCCTGTGGACGGAAGTCAGCTACACACATCTTCCGCTACAAAGCAAAAATTCAGCTTCGGGCAGCCGTGTGACCAAAGCAGTGTGACCCGACCACAAAGGCACGGGCACCGCCACCTCAGACCTCAGGGCTCAAGTCCTCACTACCTTCTTCTTTCCGGCCGGGCTCACTCCGAGTTTGCATCGGCGGCACCAACTGAAACGCGGTCCACGCTTCCATGATCATCGGCTGGTCCTGGTACCGATGGACCGCCGCACGGATGACAGCCACCCACGCTGCAGGCAGCACAAGGAGAACTCTAAAGGCTCGGCCGACATTATCCTCAAAGGAAGAAGGTCCAGCCCCCATTCGTGCTACACAACCTTAAATTAGCAGAGAGACCTAAGCACCGAAGGCTGCGGCACATAACAAACAAGTGCAGGCACTCCAAGACGCCTTCCTTGCGCAATGCAAGAATACAGGCTTACCTTTCAGCAGCAGCGGCGACTTCGCGCACTCGCTTGAAGAAGCCACAAAGGCCATCAAGTAAATCTTCGATCCTCACCGAAATCCACCCCGTACCCCCGCTCGTAATGAGCAGCATCAAAGGGAAGATCGCGGCACCACGGCACCAACCTGCCTGACACCTGCCTTTGCATAAGATGAACCGACCCTTTTGCCTGCTGGACAAACCACGTAACACAAGGAGTGGCCTCATCAGACTCAGCAGACTCTCCAAGCGAGGATGGCGAAGACGACGACGATGCATCGTCACTAGCCTCCGATTCAGCCTCACTAAGCACAGGGTCCTCAGGGTCATGCTTCGGGATCATCGTGTCGCTAACTTGCCAAGCCGAACACTGCAGGGCTCTCTCAATCTGGGCCGCGGTCGGCCGAAGTTGAGCCTTGGACTAGCAAACGCAGCTTGGTCATACCCGCCGTCATGGCTTTCTCATCCGAATACCTAATCGGCATCCCCGATCCAACAGCCTTGGCCGTGACACGATCTGTCGCGGCCTCGACCCAATTGCCCACGGCCAGCCTGGCTTCGTAAGTCGCATCCTGGCAGTCAGCTAACGTTGGCATGAAGCGCCTGAAGGAATAACTGGACAGCTGCTCCACATCACCCTCCTGGACTCCAAGAGCTCTCAGCAGACTCTTAGCCAAATCACAGAATTTCGCACGACTCATCTTGCGAGCCAACTTCGGTGTATTTGGCTCCAGGATGCTCCAGGCGGCCCGATTTGGGCAACTGGCGATCAGGAATAATAAAGGCTGCATCCGGCTTCGCCACACATAACTCCCCATACCAGAAATATTGACACTCGGTGCAGGGCAGGCCGGCACGGACCACAGAAAGGGTTGCTGCACACCTTGCTGTTTACGCTTGCCCATCTGGCACAAAAGCCAACAGGAGCGAATCCTCGCACCGAAGGTTCACCGATCTCTACAGCAGCAAAAGCCACGCAATAAATGCTTTGACAGTCCCCGTGCTATCCGCCAGCGGTGTGCACAATGCAAAGAACACTGCCAGCGCCACAGGAGTACGCTATTTCGCCGCGTACCCGTCCGGAGGGCACTTGAACATAGCAACCAGCGGGTCATCGATCGGCAAGGGAAGTCCCAATCTATCGACCCACCACTTCAGATTGTGATACACCGTGACAGGAGCAGTCGGACAACCTTTAGAAACCTGTTGCAAGAACGCTGCCAAGCACATGGCCGGCGGCATCCAATAAGGTACATCGGCAGCCACATGACATTCTGCATAGCGAATCCACCTTTTGAGAGTGTCCAATAAAGCAGAAATCCTCGCAGCCGACACTTTATCTAGCAGCCTGACGAACAAAGGAAGCACCCCAGTTCGATCGCGCAGCTCCATAGAAGAGAACTTGGTATTAGCAGACCCAGAAGCAACTACCACATCAAGCATCAACTGCACCTGCTGTGCTCTCTGGGACTGAACATGAAGAGGGTGTGCTTGCACGATGGGCTGAGGTCCTCGAAGTCTACACCTTACCGTGCAATAGGGCTGGCGGCAAGCATCGCTTCTTCGGACGTGCTGCTATTGGCACAGGCTCAGGGCGCTTGGCAGGAAGAATCAAGGGACGAGAGCTTGCCCGGACAAAACATTGATCAGCAAGCCGCCATGCACTGACAATATGCCCAGCAATATCCTCGGGAACGAACCCCAAATCTCTTCAGCAGAGGTCCAGAAACACGCCAAATCAGAATCTGTCATAATTCCCGCAGCACAAACAGCTTCAAAAGCAGCATTGGACAATGCCTCGCGCACCACGGGAGGGCGAGAAATCCAAGGACCTCTCTTCCTGAGCCTCAGTGGGCTAATGGAAAGTGAGCTGTGATGCTCATGCATATAAATGCTTTGGACCCTACTCCAACCAGCCATACTGCAAAGCTACTTCAGAAGCTAACGCATGTGTGTTTGCACAAGCAAGCCAATTCAAATACTATGTGATGGAAAACAATGAGGACCGTCACCACGGATGATAATAACAGACCCCAAAAATCTCACGACGATAGAAGACTGGTCCACCTATGGTTCTGTCTAGTGGCGTGACTGCCATACTCAGAAGAAGCAAGTACCAAGCATGTCGCTTATATTTCGGAAATATGGGTAGTGGAGAGCGCCGCACGCAGGAGAACCATCCTCGATCCTTGCGCAAACGCATCGCCTCGCTGTCTGATTTCGGACAGCTTTGCCATATATTCTCATGTAATTGGAATTGGTCTCGTGTACGATAGTCAACAAGCCGATAAAGTCCGCCTTTTCCATTTCGGGGAAGCAGTATCCCTCCCTCACCTGCCTGTGTTTGGTAATTCTTTTTTCTGGTCTGCAGCATTCTATGCCTGATACAATGGGTGTGCTTGAGAGGCTGTTGCTCTTGCTTGCTTTGCTTTGCTTTGCTCGGGGGCTCTTGCTTGCTCGCTCTCTCTCTCTCTCTCTCTCTCTCTCTCTCTATCCCGCCGCTGCAGAGATCGCGAGGCAAGTCTAATGGCCCACCTGAGCGGCTTCGGACTTGAGCTTCTCCAGTTCCGCAATTGCCACCCCAGCTTCCGGCTGGGAGACAGCAGGCTCCTGGGCTGCAGTCACCGAGAACGCCCGACTTGAGCTCAGCTGCACAGCGCTCGGAAAAAATCACTGTCTTCTGATTCGAGCACTCAGGAATCTGCTTGGAGATGAGGTGCTCCCAAAGTGAGCTCAGCGCCTTTGGAGAGCACATCAGGGTCCATCGTGTCCGCGTCAGAATCAGCATGGTGCCAGCCGTCTGCACCTCCGAGGTGTCGAGAACTAGTAAGCGTCTGTTGGCAACGAACGATGCAAACAGCGTATGAACGAACAACCCGTATGTGAAATGCTTTAAAGTTATAAGATTTCCTGTCAGCCACACATTGGAAATCAGCAAAACAATTATTTGGCATTCCTCATGCGTTTCCGGTGACATTTTTTTGGAGTTGCGAGTTGGCATTTTTTTGGTGTAAGGGTTTTGTGGGCGTTTTTTTGGAGTTCCGATTTGGCGTTTTTTCAGCGTTGATTTTCTGTTGGTGTTTTCTTGGAGTTCTGATTTGGTGTTTTCTTGGTGTTGGGGTTTTGTTGGTATTTTTGGGGAATCTTGGCTGGGTATTTATTTGGTGATGGGATTTTGCTGGCGTTGTTGTTGACGCCTTGGTTCGCTGATTCTTCAGGTGTTTTTGCTGCCGTTCTTGACTGCACCCAAAGGATTGTTTGGATACACATAATGAGTGCTTGGCTGTCCGTCTTTGTTGCTGATGGCATCATCACTGCCAAATCACATTGTCAGGTTTAAGGGTGTGGCTGCAAACACAACTCCAAGAAAGAAGACTATGCGCTGGAGCATTCTGTGTAGCACCTGCCGAAACGAATTTTACGATTGACCTCGGACCTTGCTACTTTTCGCAACCGGTTGCCGTGCGCTCACTGAGAAGCCAGGGCCTAGACATCCCCTTTCGAGAGAATGCCAATCTGGACACGAAGACTTTGCAGGAACACCAACCTCGAATCCAGGTTGAACGCAGACACAACCAGGAACGCCAATTTGGACTCCAAATAAATGCCAAAACCAATGCCAAAAAAACGCCAAAACTGACGCCAAACAAATGCCAAAAAAATGCAAAACAAACGCCAAAGCCAGGCAGCGGCTACCGACCTCTGGATTTCAGGATTTTTGGAGAATGCCCCAGCGTTTTGGCATTTTGTTGGCATTTCGTTGGCGTTTTTTTGGCATTATTTTGGCGTTTGGTTTGGCGTTTGTTTGGCGTTTCTGTGAACCTTGCCCGGATAGCCGTATCTTGAGATTTGGCATTTATTTGGCGTTTGATTTGGACTTGCCCCGGCCCCCTCCTGAGATTTGGCATTTGTTTGGCGTCTGGATTGGGGTTGCCCGTGCCCCCCTCCCTCCCTCCCTCCCTCCAGCCGGAAACAGCAGCACTCAAATCTCGCATGCCCTACAGAACTACACAACTGGCAACTGCTACTTGACAACATAGCGAAGACATAGCAGTAGCAACAACAATATGCACACACCAAACGTCGTATATAGATCTTATTTGCACTGGAAGCACACAAGCAACGGGCTGCAGGCAGTAGCAACCATGAAGTACGACTAGCAAACACCGACCTGCAAGCAAGACATACATAGTAATGCCAAAACACCAAAATCGGACGCCCTCAAGCACGAAACGCCACATTACACGACTTGCAGTGCTCCAAAAAGACATCAAATTCAAACACCCCAAAACACGAATGATAACACAACTCCAACAAGTGCCAAACCCAACAAAAGACTGAAATGAAAACACAACTCCAACACAACGCCAAACTCAAACACCAAACAAACGCGAATGAACACACAACTCCAAAAAATCGCCAAACTCAAACGCCAAAAAGCACGCCAATCAAAACACAACTCCAAAAACAACACCAAACTCAAACATCAAACGAACGCCAATCAAACGCCAAATTAAATGTTTGACTGCGGCACAGTCCCTGGCCGCAAAGTTCTTACAACTTTAAAGCGCTCTCCCCAAACGAACGTATGTTTGCAGCCCCCGCACCTCCCCCGCTTGAGAGAAAAGTCTCAGATGTCGCACGTTGAGCCAATATGCATCTGATCTGAAACCATGATGATCTCAGAACCCCTTCCCAAACTGAAGGCAAACCATGCACTGTCGAACTTGTCCTGGCTGCCCATTGCTGGATTCACGTGCCAGATTTGCAAAGAATCCGAAACAGTTACCAGGCTGCCCAAGCAAGTCTTTCCTCTGCATTCTTTGCGCCATGATAAAGTGAAACATGCATTACATGCATGCATGTGGTTGACAGATCTTGTTTCGACGCGATGTCCCTCTTATGGGTTCCAAAAGCCGGAACCCTGGACACTGAATCCTGCATGCCTTCTGTTAGCCTGTGCGGTTGGGCACCGCAGCCTTTCTGATCGTGGTGCTGATGCAGGACGTCAACACACAGATTGGTTGCCAGTGCCACATAACCGTACGCCTTACAAGTTGATGCTGACGGAGCTAGCCGGCTTGACTGCCTCCGCTGACAGCAGGCGCTGCGACGGCTGCCACAGATGCAGGAGCCTCAGTTTCTGGAGATTTGCGGCAAGCTGCATGCAGGTAAGCAACGAACACTTCGATCAAAGTGGCCTTGGAACTTCGTGTCACTTTATGACTGTATGAAACCATGACAGGCCATGATTGAGTCATTCGCGGCATGGTGCGGCCCGGGTGTGAGTGGAGGTCATCTACACTCATGTTTCACGTCCGCGCTGCCTCGAGCTGAGCCAGCCTGGCATGCAACTCGTCCACCTGCCGCGAAAATCACATGGACGGCCCGCGCTCCCGTCAGATTCCCATCGGCGCATCGGCCTCTGAAGCTTCGGACCGAAGCCGGTCCACCTGCTGCCGAAGCTCGGCCACGCCAGCAGCCTCTTGCAAGGCTGCCGCCCGCTGAGCCTCGCCGGTGCTGCATCCCAGCGAAGCTTGCCGAGACTATGCGAATATAGGCGTCTTGAAGCTCTCAGATCGAGACTTGCTGGAGTCGTCGATGCTGGGCCCTTCCAGTCCTGCAGGCTGAAACATTCCGACTCCTGCATGCTCGTTTGACCCGAAGCCGTCCTTCGCAAGTGGTTGTTGCTTTTGCGATGCTCCTGCAAAGCAAAGCGGCCGAGAAGAGGAAGGCACAAGCACGAGGCACCTGGGCCTGGGTCTCCTTACTTTCCTCGGCGTCTCGCCGTCCCTCCGCTTCATGAGGTGTCTTGGCCGCAGTCTTCGCCTCTCCTTTCCCCTCGTCCTCTTCGCGAGGCACCTGCGGAATGTGTCAGCAACAACCCCTGAGACAACTTAGGAGGTTCACATCAAGGCAATGCAAATACCAGGCTTGTGTCTGATGGGCTTAGATGCCATTGCGAGGTTTTGAGTGCGGTAGCCAACTCAATACAACGTTGCAGAAGAACGAAAGAGCTTAATGCTTGCATACTGCATCTCTGGCAGCCTATGCATGTCCTCCGACATTGGACCCAATACAACACGAATCAACACGAAATTGAAGTGCTCAGCACATCGAAAGCTTGTGGAGGGGGTAAGAAAACAGCGTGCAAATCAGCATTTCTCATCTCTGAACACCTGTTTGTGAGCTGGAATGAACCGATAAACCAATATGGACCCTCACCACATCAAGAATCGCTTTGACATGTAAACAAACTACACAAGAGATAATTCGGGGGGACTTCCGTATGCAAGAATCATGTAGGGAATCGCAAAAACCAGGCCAACGCGGCCCGCAGCTATGCTTTGTTGAGTTGAAGCCATGCTCGGGCAAGGCAGAAACCACGGTCCTAAGGGGTGGGTTGGGACGATGCCCAATCCAAGACAGCAGAGCCGCCCACCTCCAGCTCATCATCCTTTGAAAGGATTACTGTGCTGCGCCTGTTGGCAGGGAGTCTAGAGGTTGGGGCTGGGCGGCTTTGATTAAACAAGCAGTTGAGGATCATGTGCAGGATTACGATCGGGATCGTGATGAGGCTTCTGCTGATGATGATGGCGAGGATGATGCTACTACTGTCAGTCGAAGCATTTAAGACTGTGACAATTCAACGATGATGATGATTATGATTATGGTGATGATGACGACGATGACGGCGACGATATACATTCCAAAAACCCTTCCGCGGCACGCAACAGAATCGGACGCCCATCAGTTCAACCGGGTCCTCTGCAAAAAAACACACACTACGTTACCCTACACTATCCTACAGTACCCGGGTACCCATACAAAGGCTGTAAGGATTTGGTACAAACACGGAGAGGTTCCAAACAGGTTGCTACAAGGGCTTTTGGATTTCACATAGGTCCAAAAAGGCTACACAAGTTACCAGACTATAAGGTCAAGAGGTCGGCAGAGCCGACGGTTATATCAAGTAACTCCACTACTCGAGCCTTGAACCTTGAAGCATAAGCCCCTGAAGCGAGTGCTAATAAACCCAACCAGCAAACAGAGAATCGCGTTGTCACAACCATGATCCACAGGAGCCCTAACAGCCCCCATATCCTGATATCCCAACCAGAATTTACCCCAATCCGCGAGCCCTAACCAACCTGACAAACCGAAAGAAACACGCCTCCTGGCTCGCTCCAGTGCGGCTGCTTCGCGAGCCTTCTCCTCCTCGAAAGCCTGAGACGAAGACGGCGCGAAAGGCGAACAGGATGGTATAGGCCACATTTGGACAGGCTTGATGGTCAGGGATGGTAACAAGTAGCAGTGATAAGACATGTTCGCATACGTGCACAATCGTGCACATGTAACGCCTGGTCGATTCTGATCGTTCTGGGCGGGTCCGTGCTGAGTGGCAGCTAGCGGGCCCAAGATCAACAGGCACACAAAACAACACTGCTACTGAAGCGAAGCAGTCTTCCCGAAGATCTCCCAACAAAATGCCGAAGCCTGTCTAGCCCGGTCCATACCCACATCGCTCTTGGCGCCATTGTCCTGACCATGTCATGTAAGCGTCAGACATCTAATGGCTTTTCTGATTTTGCATGATCACAGCACAAAGTTCAAAGAAGCTCCTGCGGTGCCTCCACTCCGTTCGGCTGGCTGCTCTCGGCGGCCCTTGCCCTGTGCAGTCTGTGTTCCATTTGTGTACGTACGCTCTCGCAACTCGGACTCCGCCAGACGAGGTCTCTCGGTTCAGAAGTGCTTTGACCGGTCAGACTAGAAGCTGACTCCACAAGTGTACTTTAGAACTTCACTAATCAGCCCTCATCGACGGAGGGCACTCGCCGTGGCTCTGATCTCCGACACTAACGACGGCAAGCCGGGCTTCCTGCCTGCGGGCCCGTTCCAAAGCTGCTGCTTTCCTGGCTTTCTCCTCCTCCTCGAAGGCCTTCGTCCGACGCTTGGCTGAAAGAATGGACTTGGTGCATTCCTCGTGCTCTCCACCGAAGGAATGGTTGCAAACGCGCTACTGCTGGCTGCGCTGGAAAGAGCTCGGTCTTCATGGGACTGACTGACTAGCTGAGATGGCAAGCCTTTCCGCGAGTACTTGTCACTGAAAGCTGCTCTGCTGACAGTCCTACAGTCACTTTTGTACAATCCGCAATTGGAATACTGTCTTGCGCATTGCTAGAGTTTTCAAACCTACCAATCCGACTTCTAAGCGTACTTTCCAACCCCAGCTTGGCGCCCCATTCTGCTGTGCTATCGCCTATGACTGTGCTGCCTCCTGCGACGGCTGGGGCTGGTGCAATCCGTAACGTGGGTACTTGCCGATGTTGCTACGACCGTCGCTGCGTTCGGTTGGGGTACTACCACACTTACACACAGAATTATGGTTGCTCTCATTGTTATGGTTGTGTATGTTTTTGTGTTGCTACTACAACGAAGAAAAGAGGTCGCGCACCTGCTTCGCTCTGTCCACACCGGTGTCGTGGTTGGATTCATCCTGGCATGTGTGCCAGTGCTCTGCAAGGTGAACCTCGAATAGCTTGGGCTCCAACCGTCGAAATGGGAACTGCAGCGGCAGCAACGGGAGCAACCACATACGGGGCCACACACACACACACGTGTGTGTGTGTGTGCGTGTGTATACGTACATTACTTTAATTGTATGATATATAACACGTGCATATCTATCTGTGTGTGCAGATGTGTACCGAAGTCGATTTATGTATATTGGTGTATGCACGTGTATACATGTATGTGTATACATGTGTGAACGTGCATGGTAGTCTGCGCATGTAAACGCAAGTCTGTCTAAATGCTCTTTATATGTATGCACATGCATGGTCGATGGCAAAATTCAATGGGACGACAACGGCCACCACATCAAGAAAACCACGCTGAGAAGCAACAACAAACAAAGCCAGGAACAAGAATCAACACTTAAAGCAATGCCAGCAAAGTGCGATCAGTGAGATTCGCAACCGACACCGCCCTAGCAACGGGAACTCAAGCGGAGAACCGAACCACTAAGCCTTAATGCCCTAGAGCTACAACGAACGATCGATTTACTCCTGATGAGTATCCTACTGCTAGCTGCTTGCTGCTAGAATTCGTAGCTGTGGTGCACCAGTACGAATACCATCAGTACCGCTACGTCATTACCACGCTCCCTCTTCTTCTTCTGCTGACGCTACTACGACTAATTACCACCGCCACAAAAACTCCGAGGACGACGACTAGCATTGCAACTGCCAGAGCCGCAATAACAAGTACCAAGTACTACTACTACTACTACTACGACTATTACTACTACTACTACTACTACTACTACTACTGCTACTGCGACTGCGACTGCGACTGCTACTGCTACTGCTACTGCTACTGCTACTGCTACTGCTACTGCTTACTACTGCTGCTGCGACTACTACTACTACTACCACTACCTCTACTACTACTACTACTACTACTACTACTGCTACTGCTACTGCTACTGCTACTGCTACTGCTACTGCTACTGCTACTGCTACTGCTACTGCTACTGCTACTGCTTACTGCTGCTGCTGCTACTACTACTACTACCACTACCTCTACTACTACTAACTACTACTACTACTACTACTACTACTACTACTACTACTACTACTACTACTACTACTGATACTACTACCACTACTACTACTGATACTACTACCACTACTACTACTACTACTACTACTACTACTACTGCTACTACTGCTACTACTGCTACTACTGCTACTGCTACTACTGCTACTACTACTACTGCTACTACTACTATTACTACTATACTGCTACTACAACCACTACCACAAGCCCTACCCCTACCCCCACCACCACGACGACGTGAAGCTCTTGCGGCTGATTCTGCCTGATTCTGTGCCGCGGCCATCGCTGCCCGGGCCTTTTCCAGCGCTGCTGCCTTCGTTGATGCCAGATTAATATATGGGCCTTAATAAGCAGAGTAATTCCTTAAAGGGATCTGTAGTAGGGTACTATGATATAAGGGCCTTAATCGTTAGAATAGGGTTTGGGTATTTTCTAGTATAAGTATAATAAGGAATGGTAATTATTTAGGCCCCTACATTATGTCACGGCCGAGGTTTGAGCGACTTCGGATCTTCATGTTGACCATCCTCCGTTCAAAACACAGGCCTTGCGAGCTTTCTCTTCATCGAAAGCCTTCCGACCCTTCCAGAAAAGTCGCTTTTTGGTGTGTAGGTGCGGTCGTTCCACAATTTCCATACAGTCTCTCTCGCACCTGCCTTCTCGACGCTGGAGTCCTGCGGAGCCTCCTCTTCCTTCGACTGACCTGAGTCCAAAAAGATTTACAAAAACCAAGCTGCAAGCAGGTTCGCTCAGAGAGCCGTGGGAACGAATGCTTCACACCGGTGAAAGCGCATCGCCAGAGCAAGCTAGCCCCTACTGTAGCCCGGATGCTATGTTACAACATCACACCATATCATCATTGACACAGTACCGCACAACATAGGGGTTTCCGAAGATAAGGGGTACCTTATTTTGGGGTCCTTATAATAAGGACCCTACTATGTAGCGTACTATATAAGGGGCCCCTATTTTCGGAAACCCCCACACATAACATAACACAATCCTTCTCTACAGCAGAAGCCAAAAAGTTGGAAACCCAATAGCCTCAATCCTGAAGAGTAATGTATAGGGAATCCCAGAACTATTTGGCCTTAATCCGGTTTCCGACCTTATTATGGGGTTTACTGGAAGTTATGGAAGATCTGGGGTCCCGGCCTTCGGAAGCCCCAAATCCTTCTCCCCGAGCCTCCGCGCGGGCCGCGCGGGCCTCATCTCTTGGGCTGCAGGGCTTAGGGTGTAGGGTTCAGGGTTTGAGGGTGTAGGTTTTGGGGTTGTAGGGTTTAGGGTTTTAGGGTTTAGGTTTTAGGGTTTAAGTTTTAGGTTTTCGACTCACACACTCGCACAAGACAGGCATGGCTTCAGGCTGTTTAGGTTTCAGGGTTTTAGTTTAGGCGTTTAGGCTTTAGGGTTTTAGGGCGTCGTTTTGGGATTCAGCACTCACAACTGGGATGCAAGAAGTGACGTGAAGCAGCAGGGTAGCAACATGATACGGTTCTATGTATCTTCAATCTGTACCTATATCAGAACCTGTATTTGTATCTATACCCATGCCCATATCTGCGTCTTTCTACTGTATACACCTACATCCATAAGTTTAATAAAGCTGCGTGCTCTGTGTCTATGACAATCGTCCTGCGCCCCGTAATCTGCAACCGCAACTAGCCGAGCGGCCCGTTCCAGTGCCGCTGCCTTCCTGGGGATCCCCAACTTCGGAATCCGGGAAGCTTCCAGTTTTCCAGAACTATAAATAGCTATACTAGTAAAGGCTACTGTTTGAGGCTTGAGGTGTGCGGTAGGGTCCGTTGCTGAAACTCCCAGTGTCCTCCTTCCGGTGATCCATTTTCCAGGGCTTGTTGGGGGGGATCCTCGTGTTCATAGCCATGAAACAAAGCTGAAAACTCCATCGCACCCTATCGTGCGCACAGTCTGCCTGCAAGGAATGTAACTCACGCCCGCAAATTCATTACACGACCTTGCTGCTGTTCACAGTATCCGGACATCATCCATGCCAGCCACTGTCTGGCCCCGAAGCGCTGATCTCCGAATCCCCTACAAGCCCTCACACGTTGACAACTCGCATACGAAGAAGCTCGTGAGTGGATTCTCTCAACTATTTCGGGCCCCTGACTCTGCTTTTTGGGATCTCAAGACTCGAGAGACCCTTAACTGCTGTCTGGGACTCATCGTTGAAGGCATGTCCTGTGGTACCTTGGCCAATCCATGTTGAAGATGAACACCCGCATGTGCATAACCCGTCGTAAAGGGCAGGCAAACACGCAAGCCCACTGTCTCCAAGACACATCCGCCCACTCTTCCGTGTCATTGAATGTGCGCCTTTTTTGCAGGGAGTTTAGAGGTTGGGGCTGGACGGCTTTGATTAAACAAGAATTTGAGGATCATGTGCAGGATTACGATCGGAATCGTGATGAAGAAGTTCATGATGCGTCTGCTGATGATGATGGCGAGGATGATGCTACTATTGTCAGTCGAAACATTTCAGACTGTGACAATTCAATGATGGTGATGACGACGATGACGGCGACGATATACAAAGAGGATGACGGATGACGCTACTTACCAGTAGCAGTGTGTAGCATTGTGACGATCATGGCTGCAGGCTCAGAGAGCACGCTCACCCTTCTTTCACACGCATTGGCTGTTGAGGTAGACTCATCAAGATTTTGGTTATCTCCGAAAGTCCTGACTACGAACCTACAGCACCAGACAGAGTTCCCAGTTTAGGGTTTAGAGGTTTCAAGCATCATGTCTACCACCGAGGGCAGGAGACATTGGAATGCCACAACAGTGTCTGAGATGACAAATGCAAAGACAAGAAACTACATGAGAAACATGAGCATCAATGCACCATGCCATGTACGAACAGAAGCTTCGCCGGGAAGTGTCAGCCAGGACATGCAGGAAGAAGTTCACGGGGATTTTTCCTGTGCGTGCATGCGAAATAACCTAGGACACACAGCCTCCGATCTCGGATCACGAAACACTAGAGTCTCGAACATACCAAAACCTTCAACTATAGATGCGACACGTGAAACCGGAAACAAGACTTCCAGCAAGCCCTCCCCGGCCAGGGCCTACATGTCAGCGGCTTTCGCCCTTCGAGAAAATGAAACCTTTGGTGGGCGTGGCCTACATTGCAGAAGGTCTGGACCTTGAGGGGCATCAAACTACGATGCACCACGAGTGGAATAGGGTCTTGAGGGATATTATACTATAGATATAATAAGGAACCCCAAAAACCTATTCCAATTATGCAGGCCCCTATGTTATGCTGTCTTCGCTCCGAGCGCTGCTGGAGGTGGTGTTGTTTGCGTCTTCGAGGCTGATTCCTACCACTTAATTCTAAGGGCCCTAAGGGAGCAGGGGGGGATTGCGGGCCTTAATACCTTTAATAAGGACTTCCCTATGACTGCATCACCTGGCCGCTGGGTGGCCACATCAAGTGCGCTCATGTTTGACAATTAGAACTGGTGACAATGATGGCCCGCCAATATGACGGTGATGGCGTTACAGTGCCCATGACGAAGATTCGAAGATAGCATTCATGATGATGATGATGATGATGATGGTGTTGATGTCGTGATGGTCAGTGCGCGGTGATGATCATGTTGCTCGTGTAGCTTGACTGATGATGGGCGTACTGACAGTATCACTAGACACCAGCAGACACTAATCTCTGCATCACTATCATGGTCTGCCTTGCTTGTTCAAACAGCTGGAAGACAACGAATCTTGCAAACCAGGCCAGGACTATGCCCCGCGGCCAAGGGATGTCGGGTTCAGGCTTGAAGAATGTTCTAGCAACAAGGTCATGCACCCTAAATCCGGGGGTCTCCCTTGATGCCTGACATGACATGTGACCGAGTGTTCGAGAGTGACCTGCATCCGGATGATAAAAAACACGAAACTGGTATATAGCACGCCGCAGAGGAACCCCTTCTCGTGGGCTTCGTGCACGTCCTTTCGGTGATCTCTTCCACTAGCGCCTTGTGGGGAGCAATCTTGCAGTCTTCAATGTTGTTTAAAGAGCTCGTTGTCCATCATGTCAGGCGATTTCTATCCCAAATAATGTAGCTTTGTGGATCTTTTTGCAGCTGTTTCTGCGCTACTGACGTGACGTGAGTTGGGTGCATCAACCACAGCAACAGCAGCAGCAACGACAACAACAACACCCCATCACCACTACCACCACCACCACCACCACCACCACCACCACCAGCACCAGCACCAGCACCAGCACCTTCACCAGAAACAGCCCCAGCTCCAGCTCGACCTCCACCTCCACAACCACCTCCACCTCCGCCTCACCACCACCACCACCACCACCACCACCACTGCCACCGCCACCACCACCACCACAACCACCAACAACAACAACCATGAACAACAACGACGGCTGTAGCAACAACAAGACATCAGTAACGACAACAAGAACTGCAGCAACAGTAACAGCGACAACCACCACTACGGTACAGAGAGGCAGCAGGTCACACGCACCACATGACATATGCATACAGAACGCTTCACGCACGGAAGGCGACGCTTGTAAGACACTTTTCAACAGGAGAAGACGTATGCGACGCAGAAGCAGCAACAGCAGAAGCAGCTGCAGCAGAAGTCACATACAAGCAGTTCATGTCGTGGCGGCGGGTGGTGGTCGTGCTGGTGGTGGTGGCGCTAGCAGGAGCAGCGGCAGCAGCAGCAGTCGCAGCAGCGGGAGTAGTAGCAGCAGCAGCAGTGGTCATCGTCCTAGCGGTAGCGGTTGAGGTACTGGTGACAGGAAAGATCGTAGTAGCTGGCAGTAGCTCCCTAACTGGCCGAGCTCACAGTCTGACACGTATCAGAAGCACGCGGCTGTCTTCGTAGTAGTCTGACCGGCAAGAGCGATAGCTGTATAAATCGTGACAACCCAGTACCGGCCATAGCCGCCGTCACTGTGAATTTGCTGCTGCAAGTATTGGTCGGTCTTATTCGAGTCTGAGTGCCCTGACAATCACTGCTTGTCCTGTTGGATGTCACGAATCCGCCGAGGCCGGAGGCCCCAGGCGTTTAGATCCATGGGCTCGAGTCGGGTGGCTGGTTAATAGTAGAGTAATAACCCACCCCCTACTCTCGTTTCGGCGCGGGGGGGTTTTGGAGGCTGGAATCCGCGGCCTTGGGTCGGAAATGCAGCCGGTGCGAAGCAAAAATCGCGATTTTTGTGTGACGGAGGGGGGGGTGGGCGAGATGGAGGGGGGAGGAGGGGAGGGGGGGCGAGGGAGCCGAGCAGGCTGCGGGCCTCGACTACCGTTGCCGACTGGTCGCCGAGGCGGCCTCGCGTTAGCGATTAAAGTATCCTTCAATCCCTCGAAGTGCAGGCGAGACATCGACGGTGGCCAGAATCCTTGCAAACACCTGAAACTTCGAGACAGCAGCACGGTGCCTGCGATGCTCTGCTGCGATTTCGATTTCGGAATGCCCTGGGAGCAATGCTGGGATCATCATCGCGAGTATTGTATATATATATATATATATATATATATATATATCCATATACATATGTATCTTTTAGTATATGTACACACACTGTTCTTATCACTACTCTTGCTGCCACATCCAAAACCTGCGGTCTGCTGTAAAAGCAGGGCAGAGCGACACTTTTTTAAACACTGTACTCATGCAGCCATGACCCTTTTCACTTCGCCACGGTGCCGTTGTGGCAAGCTCTCATCATTCTACTCATGTCTTGGTATTCTAGTATCAGGGCGATCGTATCAGTCTGGATGCTGTAGCACAGCATGCGCCAGCCCAAATCTTGCACCGGTTAACACTGAGCTCTGAACCACCCAACCCTGAACCAAAAACACCCTGAAATAACCGTCAATAACACCCCAACCCCACCTCAACCCTAAACCCTAAACCCTAGTCCTCATGAGGACCCGGCCCCAGACTGAGAAACGGGGGAACCTGGATCTTCCATACTGTCTGGCACCTGCGCGTCTCCGGAATATTTGATAATGTATTTTGTGAATTATGTACTACATAAGATACATTGTGTATTATGAGGTTCGAATGATCACAGTAAGACTAGCGAAGAAGCACCAGGAGTAGTAGCAGTGGCAGCAGCGGAAATAGAGGCAAGAGTAGCAGCAGTGATAGTAGTGGTCATAGCAGCATACTGGCGGTCACGATCTTGAGCCAGGTCTCGAAATTCTTGGAAACTGCTGATTCATCGCTGTGGATCAGGGTCAGCCTCTCGCCCACATGGCTTCCGCCTTCTAACTGGGCTCCGGCCCTTTGTTTTAGGCTTCAAATATTGGCTTCAAGACGTGGTCTCAAAGTCTCGAGGTTCCTCTTGGAGAGGCCCCTGGGCTTGATGTGCGGTGAAGCTCGGAGCTCTCCACAAAGTCCAGAAAAATATCCTGCGCACCCGGGTGGGACTCACGCGTCTGCAAACAATGTACGTCAAAATATCATCCATCAGGACCAATGCCAGCATCAGCATCCTCACAATCACATCATCATGGTCATCATCATCATCATCACCAACAGCCCCATCAGCTTCATGATCACCGCCACCGCCACATCCTCTTGATCAGCAGCCTCCAAGGATTGCCCCGCTATCGGACTAAGGGGCTCGGGGATGTATGTGCCTGGGCGCAAGGACTCAGACCCTCTGTGCACTTCCATGCCCGGCCTTCCTTCTAATGTAAAGCGCATAAGGTGGCTACGGTGTGGGTAGGATCGGTGTCTGGATCTTTGGCGTCGAGATCCTCATATTGCAAGGGCCTGCCTAGCTGGACATTAACCACAAACACCATGGTCGTATTGAACAAAGACAGCACGTGTGATGAGAGGACCAGTAGCCACAAGCATCAGATATCAGATAACCATGCTCCCCACAACAATTGGAGTGTAAGTTCGCATCTGGTGCAATATAGGCAGAGACGGCACCGTGCAACATCCCGCCCAGTTCTCAAAGCACCCATGAGCATCTGCACACGTGAAGCCCCTCTGCAGTTCCTATGGGAAGCTCACCTTTGACCACGCATCAACCCGGCGTATGATGAAACAGCTGTCACTAGCTTGTACCCCTCCAAAGCTGCACCCCCTAACCGTAAACCCTAAACACCGAGCCATCTGGAGGGCCCAGCCTAAAAGCCCTTTACAGTAAATGTCTGACCCCTGCTCGAGACCATCTTGATACCTCCCTTCTGCAGGTGATGTCTCTTCCTGCCGGTTATTGTCATCATTGTTGATACATTCAATGCCTCCTTCTGATATAACCCATATGAACAAAATTGCCATTGGCACAAGCTGCCTGCGCGTCTGCAACCCCGTGAGAGCGTGGCCGTCTTCTGCAAAGGGGAATGGGCTCCTGCGTCTTTCAAAGCACGATCTACGGTTTTAGGACGTTGGCAGTTATGGGTGGGGCTGGCATCACTCATAGCGCGTGGTCCCCGTGCGGAACGAAGGCAGGCGTGGGCGGATTAACGTGTAGCCCGTACCCAACTTGATCCAACTTGACTCTAACTCTCCGACCTTGAAAAGCAGTAGCAATGATCATGCTCCGCAAGTGAAATGGCCACGAGAACGAAACAAACCGACCAACAAATGCCGGGTGCCCTCATAGTAGATACAGGGTCGGCCATGATAGACTCTAAGACATAACTGCCGTATTGGAATGGTCTGATGCGGAGGGCTCTCTTCGCGTGCTCTCAAAGCAGAAGGCTCGTTTTAGGCCCAACCCAGGCCAAAGCCCAAAAACCAACGAACGCCTTTCGAACCCCAACACGCAAGACCCTCGACGCCCAGGAACTTCAGCATCCCATCTCTGAAGTGTCTTACCCTGAACCCCAAACCCTTCGAATTTAGAGTTTTAGAGTCGGGGTACAGGGTGAAGAGAGCGGAGCTAAGCCCACCGTCCTCCTCTCAAAGTCCTCCGCCCTCCCCCAGCCTCATCTTGCGGACTGAGAAATTGCTTGAACGGACGATTCGGGAGTCTGAAAAGGCTCCGAATCAGGAGGCAAAATTCTGAAGACTCCACGCTGGGATTTCGGGCGGCAGTGTGCCGGCTTGGCATGACTTGTTAGATTCCAGTGGAAGCCACACGCAAGCGCCAAGGAATGTGATAGCCAGATGAGAAAGCAGACGTCCTCGTTCGAAGGCTATGAACACAAAACTATATGTTGTGTATATGGTCACCCCCCAAGACCCAAACCGTCTCTGTTCCATTCTCTCACACATAACTAAACATTTCGAACCTCCCTCCTCCATGTGCACAAAGTGCGGTAAATACCAGCGCGAACGGCTTCTCTGTAGAACAGCTTCTTTGCTCATCGCATGCTGACAAGCTTTTTCCCTCGAACATTTTGCACACCAGGATCTGGTTCCGAAAAGCAGTGGCGCACACAAGCAACTAGAAACGAACCGAAGCGACATTACTTGCATTGCTGGGAAAGGAATGTCTGATGAACAACAGTGCGGTAAAACACTTTTCAAATACTCGAGTCCTACAGTGTTGTACTGCCACCAGAAATTTGGTATGTCAGAGACGATATTCAGGGAGAGTACAGCACTTTTGAAGCTGCCGTGTTTTATGTAAAGTGTTGGACTGTCCCATTCATTTGGGTTTGGCAGAAGCAACATTTAGGGACGGTACAGCACTTTAGAGCATAAGCGCTTCAAAAGTGTTGACTGTCCCTACAATTCACCGAGAACGGCCTTGTCCACCGTGTTCTTGAAAGTGGGTACAGTGTCATCCAGGCGCTTTGTTTTTCAATACTGGATAGCGCTTCGTAAGTTCAGAGTACAGTGCAAGTATATATTTCATTTCGCTTCCTATTTAAATACTGCCTGCTTTGTCATCTGAATCAATGAGATGGGCTCGCTGTTGCCTCTGTACGGACAACCGAGAATTTTCTACTGTGCACATGAGAAACAGATGGGCTCTTCTTTCACGAAAAAAGTACAGCAGCTGTTTCTTCGTGCTCAACGGGATAATAGAGGAGTTCTGTGATATCTTGACAAAGCAGCTCTCTCTCTTTCCGAAGGATGGATGGACGTCGGAGCACTCTTGGTTTTCAGGCACAAGCAGAAGCTGTTACGTCGACAAGCAAAAACACGAGAAGAGGACGAAGCGCTTTCTATCTCACAATGACAGCATGGCAGCTCTCTTTTCTCTCGTGACAAAAAAAAGAGACTTGCAAGCAGGACCACGAAAATTCCTGTGTGATGGATGAATACCTCCGAACAAAATTGACCAGCTCTCCATTCGTCTTCCCGAAGGTGAAGGTCAACTTGCCTCGGTTCGCTGAATGCCTTTTGTCCAGAAAAAAGACAAGCTAAGCTCCCTTTCTCACATGAAGCGGAAGCTGTGCAGCAGGTTTTGTTTCAGTGAACAAACCTTCAAAACACATGAGTGAGTTCGCTTTCTTGATTGAAATTAAGGGATCGATCACAGCAGCATCTCGCAAAGCGATGAAGAAACGAAGGAATTTCAATCTTGCCCTCGTCACACTCCCGCGAGTATAGGGATAGTGACATGTCCCTCTTGGTTACTGCTAACAGATGGAGACGCTGCTGTTGAAAGATGCTAAAGTAAGACCGAAAGGGCCGGGCGTGGATCTTGACAGGGAGGGTGAGCCTACATATATATATATATATATATATATAAGACAGCCGAGCAAGGGAAGCTCTGAAAAGCCAGAGGCACTTGTAGCAGGTGTGCATGTGTGTATATATATATATATATATATATATATTTTTATTTATTTATTTATGTTTATATTTATGTGTGTGCTATTTACTATATTGACAATAAGGAATGTCCAAATCCGACTCTGGGACTCGTCATCATCAACACCCTAAGTCCAACCCACTACCGAAAGATGCGAACCTTGCATCCAGGGGGCCAGGCTGCGGGGAGTGGTGCCGAGAAACAGGCCCTCCTGTTAGGCCTTTGAGCCAAAAGATCGTCAGATATAGGGGCGCAGCACGGGTCAACATGTGCGAGCCGTAAGGAAGTAGCAGAAAGAAGAAACGCAAATGTAGAGTGACGTCGCCCGGGGCTTCAACCTGGCAGTTGTGATGGCAGTCGGAACCCCAAACCTGCTAAACACAGTCGAAAAGTGCGAAATCGCGGAGAGCCTGAACTCCTTTATTCGGCGTCGCCTGCAAGTCGGACCCAGCGCTTTCCTGCGCCTATATTCGCGGTCAGTTGGGCAAGGGCTTAGGGCTTAGTACTTGAGGGGTCAGGGCCTCGAGAGCTGTTACAGTTTGCGGCAAAGCTCGGTTTCCAAGTCTTCATATTGTGTGCAGATGTGTTTGCGTCCTTTGATTCCAGTGCGTTCTGGCTTTTGCCTTTCACCTTACTTTAGGTAATACAAGTAGATCCCCTAGGGCTCCAACAGAATCCCGAAATGATTGGTGGGCGTTTCGACCAGTCCGAACTCCCAGATCCACTTAAACTGTAAGACCCTGAGCGTTCACGCTTTTCCTGCTTAAGCCAAAGGTGCTGCATAGTCATTCTATACATTCTATGTGCCGTAGCCTAGGGCTCTCCAAGGTGTGGGCGTTCTATGTACAAATCTTAACATCCTGCCTCGAAGTCCTTGTGCTGTGCTGCTGCAACGGTCCGCGGTCGGGCAAACCTCCTGCCCTGGCTGCATAGGCTTTGCCTGCACAGCTCCTGGGTTAAACACTCCATGCAACCCACCTTTTGACCTGCCCCCAATTATGGGGTTTGTCAGACCGTCCATACACTGACATCCGTACAGTAACAAGTACTTCGTCCTAGTGAAACAACACTGGCGCTCTTCCTTCTTTTGAGCTTCCGCCTTTCAGGTCTTGGGTGTGAAACTTTTTCCGGCCTACACCTGCTGCTGGTCCTCATCGATGGACTCGATGTAGGTCTTACGGCGTCTTACGGATATTCTGGTGACCGTCCTCTTCAGGCGAGGGGTCCCTCAGTACGACGTT